AAACTCTTTGATTAAGACGTGGAGGTGACAAGCCATAGAGGGCGAAACATGATAAACATGGAAAGTTCCTGTATATATTTATGGTTATTGTGATTCTTCAATTATTGTTTTGTTGAAGATAGGACTTAACTTGGAATAAGTGATTCCGATATACCGAAGCTATTTCAAGTTGGAGTCACATAAATTATGGTAGGGTCATACCATTTCAACCATACAGTTGCAAAGAACTTTCCACGTTATGATTATGCAATCTGCAAAAATATTGGGAGCTCCTAAATCCTCAGATCTTTTCCTTTCGTTCCTTGTATTCTATCATCCTTCAATTCGATATAAAGTGAAAAGATAGATCAAAGTGAAAATTTGACATTTTTTGGTTGCTTAGACAAAAAATGTCAAATTCGAAAAAATGTCAAATGTAGGAATGTTTTTCTGTAAAATTGAAACAGTGATAGCCGTTCATGTCTGTGTCAAGTACACTTTTAATGCAATGTTTTGAAAGAAACTTTGCAGTAATTGTAATGAAGTGCAAAATTGCATGAGTTGTACAGTCATAATTCATTAATACACTGATACATATGTGTACACTATATGCTTACGTCACGTCGTTGACTTTGGCCCGTTCTAAACCCCCAACTTTCCATAAACAGCGCCTCCCCTAAATTTTTTCCACCTCCCCCACTATTTCCACCAAAATCCGGCCTTGACAAATTTTCAAAATTCTTCTCTACCAACAAGGGAAGTTCCTGACAATCAAAACACCAAAACAGATGAAGGACCCTCTTCCATAGAGATTGACATCCAGCGTGTCCCAACCACACCATTCATTGAGCAATATTCTTCACCATCGTTGTACGCAGCAAACGAAACACCACTTCAAACGTCCATGTCTTGGATGCCAGCTCCGAGGCTTGCTATGCAGAATTTTGAACACGGAAGAAACCAGAGACTTCCAACGGTACAGTTAAAACTTTAAACGTGTAATTGGCTAGCATGCCGCGCCATCGATTCAGAATACCGTAAAGGTGATACAGTGGTAAAGCCTGGTTCACACTAGCAATTCTGTGCGCGATTTTCCCATCCTGGCAAATGCGAACGAGTGAATGACACGCAAAAGACTTACACCTGTATTCTAAAAGCTCACTCACACTCAAAGAGTGGAGGTTCAATCTGAGCTTCCCTAGAGTGTCAGTGCTGCTTTAGGTACCACACTAACCCTCCAACTATTCAAAAACAGCACCGACACTCAAGGGAAGCTCAGGTTAAACCTCCACTCTTTGAGTGTGAGTGCCTTGTAACATAACAGCAGACTTGTAGCAATGCTGTTTCAACAACTTGTCAAACAGGATGTGTTCGCACTGCTTGTTTCCAGCTTGTTGACAAGTTGTCAACGGCTTGTTATCACCTTGTTGCAAGGTTGTTGAGCTCAACAAACTTGTTACAAGTTGTTCCAACAACTTGTTATCGTCCTGCAATTCAACAATTTGTCAACAAGTTGTGAGTGATAATCTTGTAGCAACTTGATAAAATAACAGCATTGTTACAACTTGTTGACAAGCTTGCTACAAGCCTGCTGCGAACACACCTTGTTGACAAGTTGTGAGACATTTACGTGTATGTGTATGTGTATGAGGTTGTGTCGCTCCATGGCTCACTACCTGTTTCAGCCATGCGCAACGTTATAAAATACTGTAATTTTTTCTATAGAACGTTTACAGTGACAGTGAACTTTGGTCTACGAACACCATACCAGCGCAAGAATTCCAAGACAATCCTAGTGGCACGACAATTGAAGACCATTTGTATCCATATTGAAGAATAATATTTACTGTTAAGGTCCATACAGACCGAACGCGATTCGACAACGCGACGCGAATTTTCAGTTTTTAAAAACAAGATATGCAGACCAAATAGCTAAAATTGCTTAAGTGGTTCCGAATATTTGAAAATTCGCGTCGCATTGCCAAATCGCGTCCAGTCTGTATGGACCTTTATTGTTAAAAGGTCGTTCCAAATTGGATTCATCAACATCAACTTCATTCCATCGTGTTGTGACAGTATTGTTTACCGCGTCGTTCGTAATTGTTACAGTGTATATTTGGAACAAGTATGGTTGTCAATAGTTACCAGTAATTGTATTAATGGTTTATTCTTTTCAAAAAGTATTTTCCATTAAAACCCATTAAAATGATGTTAAACCATTGATGTAAAAATAATACACAATTTCCATCAATGTTTTTTTTCTGCAAATTGTCGGAATTTTGATTCACATTAATGGTACCATTAATGGGTTTTATTTAAATACCATCCATATACATTTTGTTGGCAATATTCACATCAATATTCACAGCAATTAACATTATGTAATATAAATAAAACTCGTTCTTATCATTAATGGTAAAAACTAAAATCACCATAATGTTAATAGGAATATTAATGGCTGGTTTGAAAAAACAATGGTATTTTGCCTTATCCGTTGTTGATAGGTATTACAAATGGGAACAGTATTATTTCTCATCTTCAAAACCATCAATGTTTTTGTAAAAAAAATTTCCTGGGTATAACAACCATTATTGAATAAATAATATTATCAACAAAAAAGTCTTTGGTCAGCATAAAGTAGTTTTCAAATTTATACTAATTTACTATAAGCGAAATTTATACAACAACACGCTGTATACTACAATCGATATTCATAACCTACTGCATAATATAATCTTTATAAAATGTTTTATACATTTTTTCTAGTATTGCACCGACATAGAAATTACCTAACTATATTACTATATTACTCTACTCTTGTTTTCTTAAAGTATGAGCTGAGTCGGGATGAAATCAGAGCAAGACTAGCCTACAAGCAGGCCCCTTAGGGCAAGACTAGCCTACAAGCAGGCCCCTTAGGGCAAGACTAGCCTACAAGCAGGCCCCTTAGGGCAAGACTAGCCTACAAGCAGGCCCCTTAGGGTAAGACTAGTGAGTTCCATATATACCTGAAGTTATCCACCAACTTGTTCTAATGCAAATTAGAAATCCTCGTCCTCTAATTTCTCTACGTCGATCAGTGAATGCAAACAAGGTTTTAAGGCTCATTTCCACTCAAGAAAAATTTCCATGGACAGAAAATTTTCCGAAAAATATCATTGTTAAAAGTTGAAAATTTTCAACTTCAAAAGTTTTTTCCGACGGAAAATTTGTGTCGGCCAATCATATTTTATAAAATTTTCTTTCTTTTAAAGGCATATAGAGGATATTCTCGGGTTTCACATGTGACGTCTCGTAGTACGTCACGTGGTCTGTATCAAGGGTACACTAGAGTTCACTGGGGTACACACGTACAAACGCACAAGTTGTTACAAGTCTGAAAACAATTTGTTACAAATCTGTTCACAAGCTGTCGATAATTTGTCTTCGCATTGCTTGTTCCCGGTTGTTGTAACAAGTTTGGAACAAGTTGTTAACAACTTGTAACAACCTTGTTGATACTATCAGATTTGTTGCAAGGTAGTTCCAACAAGTCCAATGCAGTCATGATATAACAATATTGTTACAACCTTGTGTCGTCAACCTTGTAACATTCTTGTCATATCATGACTGTATCAGGCTTGTTAGAACAACCTTGTAACAAGTCTGATAATGCCATCAAGTTTGTTACAAGTTGTTAACAGCTTGTTCCAAACTTGTTGACAACTTGGGACAAGCAGTGCGAACACAACTTGATGACAGCTTGTTGGCAGACTTGCTACAAGATGTGAGATTTTCACGTGTGTAAAGGAAGGCTTTTATATTGTTTAATAGTCGCTGAACTCATTTACATAAGATGCGTTGACAGCCATTTTGTTTCTTTGATCTCCCACTTGAGTAAAATTATGTTAAAATATCACGTGATTGAAACCCAAGAAATTACTCTAGGATAGAAGATTCGATTATATAACTCCAGTAATATACAGCGCTCACTGGGCCTTCTATACTGTTTATATAGAAAGCTGTTTATAGCACGATTTTACATCCGACATTTCTGGTTGAATGCCCCCCTCCCCCCTTCTATAATCCTTAGTACTGTTACATGCATATAACTAAATATACTACATACTATATGGAAATCGTTCCAGCGACTCTAGACTCAATAGATATTACACCTAGATTTATAGTCGCAACTTATTCAAAATTGTTTCTTAAATTTTGCGCAAATATCTGGCGTTGTATCAATTGTTATAACTTAATATAGTAGTCCATCCATGCGCATCTCTAGTTATTTTGAAAAATTACATTCATTTTTATTGCCGTACCTCGTGTGTCTTCTTGCTTGTTAGTCGACGCCATCAAATCCTTCTGTGTTATAAATTGCTAATTTTAATTTTTCTTTGAGTTCGTGATAGCTGCTAAACTTTGGTAAGTCCAGACGATTGAAACTAAAAGGATAACGGCATAGATTTTAGAAAAACACCAAATTAAATACACAACAAGTTGTGTTCGCACTGCTTGTCCCAAATTGTCAACAAGTTTGGACCAAGCTGTTAACAACTTGTAACAACCTTGTTGATATTATCAAACTTGTTGCAAGGTTGTTCCAACAAGTCCGATACAGTCATGACATGAATGATATACCCATATTGTTACAACCTTGTTCGTCAAACTTGTAGCATTCTTGTTATATAATGACTGTATCAAACTTGTTAGAACAACCTTGTAACAAGTCTGATAATGCCGTCAAGCTTGTTACAAGTTGTTAACAGCTTGTTTCAAACTTGTTACAACAACTGGGAACAAGCAATTCGAACACAACTTGTCGATAGCTTGTGAACAGATTTGTAACAACTTGTTTCTGACCTGTAACAACTTGTGCGTTTTTACTTGTATAGTAAGTCTGCAAAAAAAGCCTTCAACAAGTTGTGTTCGCACTGCTTGTCCCAAGTTGTCAACAAGTTTGGACCAAGCTGTTAACATCTTGTAACAACCTTGTTGATATTATCAGACTTGTTGCAAGGTTGTTCCAACAAGTCTAATACAGTTATGATGAACAATACTATTACAACCTTGTGTAGTTAACCTTGTGACATTCTTGTCATATCATGACTGTGTTACAACAACCTTGCTACAAGTCTGGTAATGCCAACAAAATTGTTACAAGTTGTTAACAGCTTGTTCCAAATTTGTTACAACAACTGGGAACAAGTAGTGCGAAGACAACTTGATGGCATTATCAGACACGTTACAAGGTTGTTCTAACAAGTCTGATACAGTCATGATATAACAAGAATGTTACAAGGTTGATGGCACAAAGGTTGTAACAACACTGTTATAAAATGATTGTATCGGATTTCTTGGAACCTTTCAAAAATTCTGATAATATCAACAAGGTTGTTACAAGTTGTTATCAGCTTGTTCCGAACTTGTTGACAACTTGGGACAAACAGTGCGAACACAACTTGTTGACGACTTGTTGGCAGACTTACTACAACTTATAGCAACCTTGTTGATATTATCAGACGTGTTCCGATACAATCATGATATAACAGTGTTGTTACAACCTTTGTGTCATCACATTCTTGTTATCAAACTTGTTACAAGTTGTTAACAGATTGTTCCAAACTTGTTACAACAACTGGGAACAAGCAGTGCGACCTCAACTTGAACGGTCGACAGTCCTTACTATACATGTATATAGGTTATGATAATTCACAAGGGAACCTACCAGGTATGTGCTCTTGGCAACGAGTGTGCTTTTCCCCACGGTTCAATGGTGAACTTCTGCGGACCATTGCTACCATACAACTCAGCAAAACCATTCATTGGGACTCGCGATGTACCAGTAACAAATTGTAGCAAACATGCACGATCTTCCATGTTGAACGACTGCACTGCCTACAGAAGTGACAAAAATGTTAGGAGCGAAGGCTATACATGTAAAAATCTCACATCTTGTAGCATGTCTGCCAACAAGTCGTCAACAAGTTGTCTTCGCACTGCTTGTCACAAGTTGTCAACAAGTTTGGAATAAACTGTTAACAACTTGCAACAACCTTGTTGATATTATCAGATTTGTTGTAAGGTTGTTCCAACAAGTCCGATACAGTCATGATATAACAATATTGTTACAACCTTGTGTCGTCAACCTTGTAACATTCTTGTTATATCATGACTGTATCAGACTTGTTAGAACAACTTTGCTACAAGTCTGATAATGCCATCAAACTTGTTACAAGTTATTAACAGCTTGTTCCAAGTTATTAACAGCTTTTATAAAATAACATGTATATAACGCGTATTCTGATTGGTCGAAAGCCGTGTTTGGATCAGGCCATCCAAACACGGAAGACTACCGTGTTGTTGTTATTTTATAAAACAATTACTTTATGGTTTCCGTGTTTGGATGGACTGATCCAAACATTTGGGAATGTTGCTCGAGTTAAGAAAAGCGGGCAAAATCACTCGCCTTCGGCTCGTGATTTCGCTCGCTTTTCTTAACTCTCGCAACATTCCCGCGTGTTTGGATCAGGCCATCCAAACACGGAAACCATAAAGTAATTGTATAGTTCCAAAGTCGTTCCAACAACTGGGAACAAGCAGTGCGAACACAACTTGTTGACAGCTTGTGAACAGATTTTTTACAACTTGTTTGCAGACTTGTAACAACTTGTGCGTTTTTACGTGTGTATTCGTCAAGAAGTCAGAAGCTTCTACACACGTAAAAACGCACAAGTTGTTCCAGATCTACAAGGTTGTCGTCGATCAGGCCGATATCAGGATGTGTTCGCACTGCTTGTTCCCAGTTGTTGTGACAAGTCTGGAACAAGTTGTTATCACCTTGTTACAAGGTTGATGACGGTAACACACTTGCTACAAGTTGTTCCAACAAGACTAATACCGCCTGTTCGTAACAAGTTGCTACGAGCTTGTTGTCATCAACTTGTTAACAACTTGTTACGTGCGGACGATATCAGACTTGTTGCAACAACTTGTTGCGAGCCTGTTGGCCTCATCAACTTTGTTACAAGATGATAACAACTTGTCCCAGACTTGTCAACAACTGGGAACAAGCAGTGCGAACACATCTTGTTGACAAGCTGTCCGATTTTTACTCGAGATGTGTTCGCAACAGACTTGTAGCAAGCTTGTCAACAAATTGTAACAATGCTGTTATCTTATAAGTTGCTACAAGGTTGTCACTCACAACTTGTTGACAAATTGTTGAATTGCAGGACGATAACAAGTTGTTGGAACAACTTGTAACAAGTTTGTTGAGCTCAACAACCTTGTAGCAAGTTATCAACAAACCGTTGACAATTTGTCAAGAAGCTGGGAACAAGCAGTCCGAACACATCTTGTTGGCAAGTTATTGGAACAGCATTGCTACAAGTCTGCTGCAGGTTTGTTACAACTTGTGCGTTTTCACATGTGTGGACGAAGAGCATTCACCAGGAATGTCCAAAAGGTTTCAATCTTTTTTTCTGGTAGTTCAGCCACAAACCACAGTGCTGGGAAAATCCAGTTCTCTCCGAACAGTCAAGAGGGAAGCTTGTTTCTCATGCATCATTAGTCGATAACAATTTACCTTCCAAAACCATTGTATAGTGGAATGCTGATCATGGTAATAACCGCGGTACATCGTGTTCTTTCTCCAATCGTCAACATCCACCACTGCAACACCACACATTAGAAGCTACAAATGTAAGTTACGTAATATTTCAAATCCGACTATGAGGACTGGACTAGATTTCAAGTTCGCGCAATTTGATTCGTCGAGGACTGGATCAAATCGAAATTGAAATCTAGTCCAGTCCGAATTGGAGGATTTGAAATGACATCGCATACGAATAAATCACTACTTAAAGTCGGAGGTGAATTAATTTTGATCCAGTCCAAGGACTGAATTAATTTTCAACCAATCCTAGGACTGGATCAATATACTTCATCAGGTATCCAGTATTATCAGAATGTTAGGGTTTGTAATCCAAGTGATTAAATACATTTTAAGACCTGACCAGGAACGACTGCGAAAAATGCAGCACAAGGTCCTCTGGTAGGAATTAAACCTACGGCCCTACGATTCCGGTGCAGCGCTCTAACCAACTGAGCTACAGAGGCCAGCTGTTGAGCTGTAACCGTAAGTTCATGTATATATAGGTAATCGGGTGTGCGGGTTGTGATAAGGTGGACTTGAATGATGTGGTTTCTTGCACTTCACTTGGTGGAATTAATATTAGAATGTTAGGGTTTGTAATCCAAGTGATTAAATACATTTTAAGACCTGACCAGGAACGACTGCGAAAAATGCAGCACAAGGTCCTCTGGTAGGAATTGAACCTACGGCTCTGCGATTCCGGTGCAGCGCTCTAACCAACTGAGCTACAGAGGCCAGCTGTTGTATTATCATGTGAGAAAAATAAAGCAATATGGTTGGCTAATTTACTCATGAATTATTAATGAGTCTGAGATGGATATGTAAGAAATGTTTGAAGGAACTAACTCCGTGTTTAACAATGAATGAGTTTCCTGAAATATTTCTAACAAATCCTTCAAAACTTAGAATTTACCCATGCAAAATTCCTACTGTGATCACAGAAACTTTGATAGTCTAAACCAGGCTTTAGATACCGTATGTAGGGGTCATGATTACACACGATTTTGTATGCAGTATCTCATATACGGTGACATGCAGGTTGATGAAGCCCTACCTCGAGTTCTCGCTCATCAAACATCTTCAATTGATTTTGTGGTACCAACTCATTGAAACCCTAAAATTTTGCAAAATTTACTACTCTGTCCTAAAATTTATATGTTATTGGTAGAATAAAACTTCGGCCTAAAATGTATTTCACTGGTAAAATAACAGGCGTTAGCATGGAATTAAGCTACACTTCAAATAGTGGGCAAATGGGAAATGAATTAGCCACCAACGAGCTGTGCAGAAAGTCGCTTCAAGTTTTTTCGGTCAAGCAGAGTTTTATAGGGTGGTACTGGACTGTGAATATGAGGGTGTCAATATCCAAGGCTACAAGATATTTGAGGCTACCCTGATGATAAGTTTGGTAATTTGGATAGTTTTTAAATTTTTGTTACATAATTCTCCATCTCTGACGAATGACTAGTTACTATTGGTGATAGAAGAGGTATCATTGCTACGCTAGTGATAAGTTAATATATTCATGAGGACACAGTACACCTCGAACCGTTAACAGCGGGAAATGTTAGGATAGAATAAGAAATGCAATAGACTAATATAGTACTGTTATTATTGGTCTCATCATCTCATCATCTCATCTGGACATCGTATCATGGTTGTTGGTACAGGTCAGGAAGAGTTAAATTCAAGAACTTTTCAAGGACTTTTAAGACCATGAATCAGGAAATTTAAGGAGTATAAAGGGCTGAAAAGGCGTTAGAAATCAGTAGAAAATGACATTATACTGTTCAAACGGCAACTTTAATGAATTTACAAAACGTCCAATTCTTAATGCCAAACAATTTCAGAAAATATCCACTAAAGCAAGAACAATTTAAGAACTTTCAAGTACTTAATTCTTTATAAACTCAATGACTTTCAAGGCCTTGAAATTTTGTTTCCAAATTCAAGGACTATCAAGGATTTTCCAGTTTTGTACAAACCCCGTCGTATTCAGTGTTAATTTTAGGGTATTGTAATACATGTACACATCTTTCGCTATTAGAAAGAGGAAGCGTGTTACCTCCATAAACTTTTTCATCTGTTTTTCAACACGATTTACAAATCTCCACGCGATAATCAAGCTACAAAAAAATCCCAAAATGGATCGATAGCTCACTGGGCAGAATGGCGATCTACACAGGTCAAAATCTCACAACTTGCCAACAAGATATGTTCGCATTGTTAATTTAGGCCTGTTTCATACGTCGATTTTAATTCAGACGAATTTAATTCGTTATTAAATTCGTCAATTGGTCGACATTAAAATGGATATACGTTTCAAACGACGAATTTAATTCAGACGAATCCATTTCATGACTAGCGATCATGGATTACCCAGAAAAAACCCCACGAGAGCAGAAAGAGGGAAACAGACTTTAACATAATTTATGCATTTACATCGTCGTCCTATGAAACGAAGACGCGCTACAGACGCTGTATCCGTCTGACCATGACGGATAAAACGTCTTGGACGAATTTAATTCATCAGAAGAATTTAATTCGTTTCATACGGAGCATGCACTACCGTCGCATTTAAATCGTTCAATTAAATTCGTCTGAATTAAATTCGACGATTGTGCTACGTTTGAAACAAGCCTTAAGGGCCATATGCGATTTGGCAACGCGACGCGAATTTTCAGTTTTCAGAAACAAATAAAACCGTCAACGGATAAAAATTTTACAAGATATGCAGACCAAATAGCTAAGCAAGCAGATGGCAAAAGTACCGGGTAGCTACGTGGTACTTGGCTTGAAACGTATACGTATACGTATACCAGACAGTGAAATGACATGTTGGTGTGAACTTTAACTCACCGTGTATATTCCTCTTTATTTACATTCGTCAGTTTAATATCAGCCCCGCCTGGAGTGAGTTCAACAACTTGAACCTGCATGGGGCATTAAATAAAAGAAATAAAACTCACACTCTTTACATACTGGATCAATTCTAAACTCTTCTTCCTAGAGGTCCAGTTAGGGTCATCCATTATTGATCTAGTGTTACTGCAGGAGGAAACCTAAACTAAACTAACTATGTTTACACTGGATAGCTCTATCAGTTCTAAACTGTTCTTCCTAGAGGTCTAGTAAGAATCATCTCTTATTGATCCAGTGTTACTACAGGAGGAAACCTAAACTAAACTAACTTTGTTTACACTGGATAGCTCTATCAGTTCTAAACTGTTCTTCCTAGAGGTCCAGTAAGGATCATCTCTTATTGATCCAGTGTTACTACAGGAGGAAACCTAAACTAAACTAACTTTATTTATACTGGATAGCTCTATCAGTTATAAACTGTTCTCCCTAGAGGTCCAGTAAGGATCATCTCTTATTGATCCAGTGTTACTACAGGAGGAAACTTAAACTAAACTAACTTTATTTCTGCTGGATAGCTCTATCAGTTCTAAACTGTTCTTCCTAGAGGTCCAGTAAGGATCATCTCTTATTGATCCAGTGTTACTACAGGAGGAAACCTAAACTAAACTAACTTTATTTATACTGGATAGCTCTATCGGTTCTAAACTGTTCTTCCTAGAGGTCCAGTAAGGATCATCTCTTATTGATCCAGTGTTACTACAGGAGGAAACCTAAACTAAACTAACTTTATTTATACTGGATAGCTCTATCAGTTCTAAACTGTTCTTCCTAGAGGTCCAGTAAGGATCATCTCTTATTGATCCAGTGTTACTACAGGAGGAAACCTAAACTAAACTAACTTTATTTATACTGGATAGCTCTATCAGTTCTAAACTGTTCTTCCTAGAGGTCCAGTAAGGATCATCTCTTATTGATCCAGTGTTACTACAGGAGGAAACCTAAACTAAACTAATTTTATTTATACTGGATAGCTCTATCAGTTCTAAACTGTTCTTCCTAGAGGTCTACTAAGGATCATCTCTTATTGATCCAGTGTTACTACAGGAGGAAACCTAAACTAAACTAATTTTATTTATACTGGATATCTCAGTAACAGTTATAAATTGCAGCGAAATATGGAACACGTTTTGAGTGCAGTACGTACCACATCTTTTCCATCAATAAGTCTAAATCATCATTTGCTTTCTGGATCCAAAAATCGTTTGGACTGTGAATCTCTTTCACGGTGACTTTCATACACTTGTCTTTCGAAATCTCAAACGGAGGAATCTGTAAACCTGCGGAATATAAAACGATCGTAGTTTCTAAAGCCTGGATCAAGTGTTAAGAACACAACCTAGTGACAAGTTGTTGAAACAGCATTGCAACAGGTTTGTTACACACGTAAAAATTTCACAACTTGTCAACAAGATGTGTTCGCAACAGGCTTGTAGCAAGCTTGTCAACAAGTTGTAACAATACTGTTATTTTATCAAGTTGCTACAAGGTTGTCACTCGCAACTTGTTGACAAGATGTTGAATTCCAGGACGACAACAGGTTGTTGGAACAACTTGTAACAAATCTGTTGAGCTCAACAACCTTGTAGCAAGTTGTCACAACAAGCTGGGTACAAGCAGTGCGAACACATCCTGTTGACAAATTGTTGGAAGAGCATTGCTACAAGCCTGCTGCAGGTACACACGTTAAAACACACAAGTTGTAACAAACCTGCAGCAGACTTGTAGCAATGCTGTTCCAACAACTTGTCAACAGGATGTGTTCGCACTGCTTGTTCCCAGCTTGTTGACAACTTGCTACAACAACTTGTCATCGTCCTGCAATTCAACAACTTGTCAACAAGTTGTGAGTGACAAGCTTGTAGCAACTTGATAAAATAACAGCATTGTCACAACCTGTTGACAAAAGCCTGTTGCGAACACATCTTGTTAACAAGTTGTGAGATTTTTACGTGTGTACAAGTTGTGGGTTTTCATGTGTATAGGGAATGCTAAGCACGTGCTTACCTTTTACGTCCGCCAATTCACACGTGGGTTTCTCCCTCAGAGCTTCTTCGATGACGTCACCAGCAGATACTGGAAATGTATCAATCTTGTCAGTCGCTGGAAAATTATTGAATGAAACAAAAAAAAACCATACAGCTATATCTGATTCTACACACGTAAAAACGCACAAACTGTTACAGGTCTGCAAACAAGTTGTTACAAATCTGTTCACAAGCAGTAGACTTCGCTAATGCTTTCCTTTCCCCGGGGGTAAATAGCCGGGCGGAATTAGTACCCGCGCACGACGCTCCGCTCCGTTGGCTCGGGATCAAGGCAAGCTAAATGTTGTAAAATGAAGAAAATGTAGCCCTGTGAAGTTCGCAAATTTTGTATGTATTTGTATTACGCGCGGTAAAAATAACCACTTTCGGCTCAAAAATGGTTATTTTTACCGCGCGTAATGCAAATATATGGCAAAATTTGCGAACTTCACAGGGCTATATTTTCCTCATTTTACAACAATTCGCAACCAAACTTTGCAATTTTACTCATTTTAAGATGCTCTTTCCAGCTATGGTAATGGATTTCGTCTATATTAAAATTTCGTCTATGCCTGGTATCATCCATTGAGAGAGAATGCGCCAAAGGAAAGGATTGGTTGTTATTGCCTTAATGCGGTTATAGTACTTTCCTCTAGTTAATCGTAATGTATAAAATAATTGGATGATATACCTTTTTGAACATGCATTTGACTTTTGGCCTCAGAGTTCTGGATCAACGTTTCGTCCTGACAAGGCGCTGTCACAAGTTGGCGCTGTCTTGAAATTTCAATTTTAGTTTCATTTGATGCGATTGTACATTCCTGTGATGCTTTCGCCGTTTTCTCTGTGGCCCGTGACAGCTCTGCTTCGAAGCTTATTTCGGATTTCTCGTCTTTGTTCAATGTTTTTTTGGCTTTGCCAGAGTCATTCATTTTCGCTTTGTCACTTTCATTCATCAACATTTTGGAGCTTTTCAGGCTTTCGGCAAGCATTTCAGGCTTTTCGATGTTAATTGCCGTTGTTTTAGGTTTTTCAATGTCATTCGCTGTTGTTTTAGACTTGTCAATGTTATTTGCTGTTGTTTTATGCTTTTCAATGTTATTTGCTGTTGTTTTAGGCGTTTCAATGTTACTCGCTGCTGTATTAGGCGTTTCAATGTCACTCGCTTTTGTTTTACGCTTTTCAATGTTACTCGCTGCTGTACTAGGCTTTTCAATGTCACTCGCTTTTGTGTTAAGTTTTTCATTGCACCTCGCTGTGATTTTAGGCTTTTCACTTTCGTTCGTTGTTATTTCGGCTTCGTTATTTTCATTTAGTGTTACTTTGAGTACGTCTCTTTCATTTACTACTATTTCCTGTTCCCCAATGTCATTTGCTATTCCCGGCATCGTTGTCACTTGCTCTTGTGACTTATATTCACAGAATCCAATCCGTTTTAAACGAACAGCAGTTGGAGAACTACATTCGCCCTCATTTCCTACTTCATTTGACGTGTCCTTACCACTCACGTCTAATATTTTCCCACTTTCCTCAACAAAAGAGTCAAAACTGTTTCTTCGCGAACTACGGTCAACTGCTTCAGCTGCACTTTGCAAATTTAACGGTGGACTTGACATAAACAGGTCATTTACATACGAAGTTGAATCCAGAGAACTGTCCACGGCGATTTGCTTCCTGGCTTCATCTTTAGGACTGTTATGTTCGTTACTATTTTCCGTCTTCTTGTCACAAACTTTTTGAAGTTGTAAACTTGTCGGTTTTTTCAAAGTATGCTCGCCAATGTCTATTAAATCAAAAGCTAAGCTAGCTTGTTTCTTGGTTGGGTCTGGTATAGGTGAATTATTATTGCTCCCGTTGCCTTTAACTCCATGGCTAGAGCTTTCTATTAAATTAAAAGATAAAGGGGCCTGTTGGCAGTCGTTTGTGGCCAGAATATCGCCATGGTTGCCTTTTAAAGCATGGTGATTCCTTTCAAAGTCACTTAAAGAATGGGAGCTCTCAGAAATGTTCTCTTTCACACACACGCCAGGGGTCTGTGTCTCAAAATCAATCAAGTCTTTTGTAGTGTCAGCTGGTGACGAAATTAAAGTTGTTTCTTCCGTTGGCAAAGATTTGACAGAAGGCGCACAAGATGCAGGCTCATTCTCTTGATGCTTGGGATAATTCCTAACTGGACTGTGCTCTAAAACAAGAAGATATGAAGATAAGAAGATTCTTGAACAGGTTCCTTTATATAGGCTCCTAAGAAACACAGAAAATCCTGTAAGATTCCAAGATCAATACAAGATTTCAATCTTGTACAGAATATTGTAGGATCTTGTAAGGTAAGACCCTATTCTGGAACTTGTAAGAAGCTATTCTTGGGCTTCAATCACATGATATATTAGTATAATTTGACTCAAGTCCCCACTCATTGAACTGATGCAACTAAAACAACACAAAAATGATTAGCAAGCCAATATAAACAATATAAAAGCCATCCTTTACCCTTGGAACATCTGTCACAGACCTGTGACATTTACACCATGTAAATATAAAACATAATTAAGGCCGCATACTGAAAAACAATAGTTGGTTAGCGTCCTTAGCTTTTGCCAAAAAGTGGGCGGGCGGGCGCTTAATTTTTACTCATTTTTAACGCCTTGGTTTTACTCACTGTTAGGTCCGAAACTGGATTTTCTTGCGCAGTACAGATATTTTTTTATATATTTCAAAATATGATTCATACCGTCATTTTCGCACGCAATTTCGCAAATTATTAACACAATTGACTACAGTCAACAGAAATACTACATATATTAGAGCCCGTTGATCAATAAAAGTTGTTGTTTATTTTTAAATAAAAAATTTTAAAAAAAATCCTGAGCGGGGCCTTTTTTGTGGGCGGGCGGGACGCTAACCAACTATTTTTTTTTTATGTGGCCTACATTACATTGAAATATTATTGAAAAATATTTATCAAAAACTTAAGTCGTTATCGGAAACCACAACCCTGTCAAGCCTCTGCCAGAAAGGCCTTTGCTTTGCCCCTGAGTGAAGCCTAACACGCCCATACCTTCATGAGAAGTGGTGGGTGATAGGTCATCCGGGGGCTTGTCGTCTTCCTCGGACCCAGCACTCTCCTCCTCCTCGTCTTCAAGAGATGATATTGTGGCGCTGATCAACAACAAGTCGTCAAGACATTTCTCCAATTCTTGACTCACAGCACGATATTTCTGAAAGAACTTGGTCTTGTTGCCTTCCGTTAGCAAACTGTTGGCAGCATGTTTCACCTGACAACACAAGTTTTAAGATGCAGAAATGAGTACAAGTTAGTATAGGCCCATTTACATGCTACAACTAGCCATATACGATTGTCATTCTGGCGTATGAAAACGATTTCTGATGCCACTATTCCTGTTCATCAGTTTAGGCGTAAAAAAATACCTGTTGTTCCGGTTCCCGACCGACCCTATCTTTTTTCTGCCGACCCTATTATTTTTTCAACGCGATTGACTGTGCGACCCTATTTTCTCCGGGTGGTTGCGGGATGCTGCCAAAATGGCATCTGTTGTCACACTAATTATTGAAAAAACTATGAAAAAAATATTCCAAAAAAAAATTACTTCCGACCTACAGACCCTAATTTTTTCGCGATACCACAGGTATTTTTTTACGCATTATGGTGAAAATTGAAATGTGACATCTTTGCACGCATTTATTCATCATCAGACGCGGGCATTACATGTATAAGCAACCTAATTACTTTGAAGTGTCTGAAATGCTTCAAAATGTCGAAGTTCTATTCTAAGCTAAAGGTCCAGACACACCGGACGCGATTCGCCAACGCGACGCGACTTTTTAGTTTTTGAAAGTTAATAAAACAGCCAATGAAAGCAAATTTTGAAAGATATGTAGGCCAAATAACTCAAAATGTTATAGCGCTTCTAAATATTTGGAAAATTTAAACTGGGATCAAAGTTATTGGTCAGTGAAAATCGAAAACATCGCGTCGCGTTGTCGAATCGCATCCAGTGTGTATTAAAGGAATACCGAATGGTTTTCCGTGCAGGCAGGGCGCTGTAAAACAGGGTGCTGTGTTTTATTACGCCCTGGTGCAGGATTGTGTGATCCATGCACGAGGGATGTCGCGAGACTTTCGGAAAGCGTAAAAATACTCGAGCCGCAGGCGAGTGTATTTTTACGCTTTCCGAAAGTCGAGCAACATCCCAAGTGCATGGACACGCTATCCTGCTTGGAAAACCATTTGGTAATTGTTTTATATAATAACTACAGTGAAACAATGACATTTTGAGAATCCCGCGAAAGCATTTTAATTCCTCGTGCAGGATAGCCTGATCCTGCACGGCTATTGACCAATCAAATTGCGTGTTTCACTGTAGTTATATATAAGGACCTTTACATGTACATTAGGCCAAAAAGATAGAACTCGATCTTCTCTGCACATTGCTGACCAATGTGAAAATTTTCATACAATTTCTTGATAGTTTTATTACCCCACTAGTTAGTTGTTCAACAGAATTTTGAATAAAATCCTTCTGTTCATCAATTGCACTTAATTTCTCCTTCACTCTTCTACGTGCGTCATCCAGGGGCTTTCTTTTTGAGGCCATAGTTGCAATTCTGCAAGAAATAAAGTGTAATTGTCCCAACAGTTCCAAACCAGCTAAAAATGATCAGGTTGTTGCAATATTGATGTAAACAGCAGACCTGCAAATAATTATTTTACTTGGAAGGACAAATGTCTGGCCAAGCCAAAAATTGGTCGGACATTTATCAATTTTTCCCACGGGCAATGGACAAAGTAAAATTTTTCATATTTTGTTTTAAAAATTAGCTCAATTCAATCATTGTATATCAGAACAGCAGAGAATCTCTGCAGCTTTGACTTAAATTGAATCTAACCCTATTTAAATAAAACCATTCAACCAACTGCATTCCTTTAAAATTAAATAACCGAAACTATTAAAGTGCCTATGCGACAATTTGTTTATGATTGAATTGCAAAGTCCATTTAAAATCATAAAATCAACTTGTTTCCTAAAACTTTGTATTCTTTCCTGTATGTCAAGATTTTCGACTTTGTTTGATATACAAATGTGACTTGAATAACGTCACACTGCAAAGAAAATAAAACGTTTCCTTGCCAAACATGTGATAATTCCACTGACATTGAAAGTGATATACTTTAAGAGCTATCAAAGCGATCATTTCGTCTGTAAATTTGAGATAATAGAGACCTTAAGATTGACGTTTACGGCAAACGTCAAACCGCTAGCGAAGTTTTTGATTTTACATCTCTATTATAATAGCTTTTACACCAGTTTTGAAATATGTTAAATTTATTAAACTTGTGCTCTTTAGCAATGATTTAAGAAAGCAAATTATAACCACTAGTCATGCCATTCACCAAAGCAGTAAATTAAGATTTGGCGTTTGAAGTTGGCGTTTGGCGTATAGATTTCATGCTTGAACTGCTACGAGGGCTTGTAGTCGTTAAAGCATGAAATTTATACGTCAAACGTCAACTTCAAACGCCAAATCTTCATTTACTGCTTTGGTAAATGGCATGACTAGTGGTTAATTTTCTTTCTTAAATCATTGCTAAAGAGCACAAGTTTAATCAGTTTAACATATTTCAAAACTGGTGTAAAAGCTACAATAATAGAGCTGTAAAATCAAAAACTTCGCTAGCGGTTTGACGTTTGCCGTAAACGTCAATCTTAAGGTCTCTAATGAGAATCTTAACAAGCTACAACACAGTCTTCTGTAAAACGCATTATGCAGTATGACGTCATTTAAGTCACATTTGTATATCAAATTTTTATTACAAATTAAGTATTACAAAGTTTTAGAAAACAAGTTATATTATGATTTTAAATGAACTTTGCAATTTAATCATAAAAAAATTGTCGCATAGGCACTTTAACTTCTTAGTATTTTGTCTTTTTCCAGAAATAATTTCTTGTATCATCGACCACTAACATTTTCTAGCTGCCAAAATAAACTTAAACATTTTCTAGCTGCCAAAATAAGCATAAACCATTCAACATAGTTAGAACTTTGCTATCAATTCTAAATGTTTCATGATAACACAAACAACAAGTTTGTCTAATAATTGCCATTGAAATCATGTTAAATATAGTTTCAACCCCCATTGGCATTGCTCTTTTCAATTCAGCTTGTAGTTTTGTATTGAAACTTAATACGGGATTTCAATGTGACGCAATGATATAAATATTACCTAACCCAAACAAATCATTCAGATGAATGCATTCCTACAAGCGAAACTGCCAATTTCTATAAACGGTTTGCAATATGGCTGTCGAAAAAGCATTAATTTCTGCCGGCATGGATATTCTATCCTCTACGGTGGGCTTAGTGGCTGGCAAAGTTTACGACCATTTAACAAATAAACTCAAGGATGGAGATGTAGCGAATGAAAAATTGCGTCAAATGATTGTTCGAGATTTGAACGACATCAAGTCAAAACTCGATTGTATCTCGTTGAAAGATCTCGGTGCAAGTTATACTTTCCTAAGAGAAGGAGTAAGAGTGTTAAATCTTGCTCTTGATAAGTGGAATGAAGATCAGAAAGCGAGCGAGGGTCCAGCAGACGAAGCAACACGAGTGATGAATGATACCGCATCTGGTATTTTGAACGCAGCCTTATCACTTCCTCAAGCGATTCAACGATTAAAAATCTCGTCGAATAAGCGGTTCGCTGATGCTCAAGATCGTTTCAAGAAATCTCGCGAGCGAGCTACTGACGCGTTCAACAACAAAGCTCTGAGCATCAAAGATCGAATTATGGCTTGCAAGTTACGTGTGGCAGCCAGTATTCTTGAATCAGGTCTTGAAGACCCGGAAGTCGCAATTACTGCCTGCTTGTTGACACTCGAAGAGCTACATGGTTTACCAGAAATCCAAGAAATGTTCGCAGTTTTTCTCAAGGGAGGACTGAAATCAATGCTGAAGAAAGCTGAACGTTTAGAAAACATAATGTCTGTTTTGTTCATCAATCATGCTTTATATGATTTCGCTTCCAAGTATAGCAGTAAATCTGCCAACCCATTTACCTGGCCTGAAATAGAGTTGAAGGATCGTACATTTCATCCAATCCTAAACACACATGAGATTCTGACAAAGACGTCCAGTAGTGAAGAATTTGTCCAACAACTGAAACGAGTGGTTGTTGATTGGAGGGCCTATGGTAAATACTTAGCTGTGAATAGCCGTGGTGAAATTATTCTACTAGATAAAGACAAAATCACGGTTATTTACAACACAGGTGAAAGCAAGGATTTTACGCTTCCCGTTCCTACAGAAATTAACG